TTTTCAGTTCTCCTGAACTCATCATGTCAGTAGGAACGTCCATGCCACGTTTCAGCTTTCCATATCTCCCCGTTTTATTGAAGCAACGGGACATGGAAGGCAAGAGAAATAAAAAAAAGGCATGGAATGGTCAGGAATTGAACCCTGACCTCACGATTACCGTTTCGATGTGCTATCACAACACCACCGAAGCGGTGACATACAATAGATTTTTTCGATGACATCCTTATCCATCACGATAGATCACGATGATATTTTAGAAAAACGTTTCCCCCCAAAATGTGTACCCCCAGGGCATGTACCTCCAAAGTCGGATTTTTTCTGAACTCTGCACCCAAAAAGGTACATGTGTACCAAGTTTCAGATTTCTAACCTTTCTGGAACATGGTTAAAATTAGCGTCAGTCAGTCAGTCAGTCACGATCGTCTATATATATTAGATGTAATAATATATTCATTTTAGAAAATTATTTTTTTTAAGTCTTTTTATTTCACAATTTACCTTAAATGCCTCAATAATACTGAAGCTTGACTGACCTGACTAGTCGAAACCTGCGGACGATGGAGAGATAAGCCCAGAAGATGATGGAGACGGGAACCAGGAATCCAAAGAAGAGGAGAAAGACGTAATGGGTCCGATTACTCAAGGTCCGGGTGTAGAAATCCCAGGTGCAGGACGCGAGGAACGCTTCCGGGACGTAGTTACTCCATCCCATGTATGGGGGAATCACCAGGGCCAGGCTGTAGAACCAGATCCCGACGCACACCTGAGGGGATGACAAGGGTCGCTCAACCATCAATTCACATGCATGGGGAATGGCAACTAGTGTCCCGACTTTGAACCCTCGTATCTTTCTTCTTACCGGATCCACTTTCACGTATTTGCTATCATGTATAGGATTTTGTGCTTGCTACCAGAAGAATGCAATTTATTTCAATTTTGTTCTGCAAAAATGAGTCGTTCATCAACATCGAATCCGTATGATTTAAATTTATTATTTGAAATTTATGGATTATTGTCGGCCTACTGACACAGACAGTAATAAACTGTTGCAGTGTAGACTGTCAGTCTATACGCATGGAACCCACATTGAACGTTACTTTTGAAGACTAAAGGCCCAAGATGCAATTTTGCCAATTAAATCACCCATTCTCGAGATGGAACGTTCACATAAAATAAGACTTAATAGGCGTAACCATTTAAAGCGCAAATACTTCTCTGGGGGCTTCCGTGTCTCGCACCTAGTCACGCGCAACTATTCGGCTCCCTCTTTTTGTTGCGTCAGTGAAGGGCATCTAACCTCTTTTTAAAACCCTTAAGGTATCAATACCTCATTGCAAATAATAATAAAAAATCGAAAAACTATAGTTTTGGAAAAAGTGACTTAAACTATGCTCCAGACACTGAAGATTGCTTTCCCCTGTGAAGAAATAAAGGAACTTAATTAATTAGGTGTAATTTAAACTAATTAGTGTATAATTGTCTTAATTATATCTCCTTAGCACCGAATTTGACCCTTGGATATTAGAAAAGATTTAAAAAATGAAAATTCCAACGAAAATTCTAATGAAAATTTGCCATAACTTGCGGAAGCCTATAGTTTACACTGGATTCCAAATCCTAAGTGTCTCATTCCACGGAGTCGGATGGTTCCGTAGTTTTCGAAGACATTTGCGCAAATATGGCAAAATTAAAAAATTTATTTCCTGAAAACCCATTTCCATCATAAGTACTAGGCTCTTGAGCATGATATCTCAGGACCTAGTAGAGATATCCGTATGATTGTTTGCAGTAAATTTCCTTGAATTGGTTGTCGTGGAATGAAGAGAGCGTTTCCCCGATATTGTGGATACGATTTGGATAATTATCATATTACTGCGTAATTAGCGGGTCAAAATGGCGAAAAAATTATTTTGGTCGAATATTTTTATTCAGAGGAAATTCCACCAAATTGCTCTGTCATTCCAAGCTTCATGATGTCGTTTAATATTTGCATGAATTTAATCAATTGAAGGATTTCTAATATATCGTGTTTGAAATGTTGTAACTTTCTTCACTCACGACGGTCATATTGCCACTTAATTAGCATAATTTATGCAAATTATGCATGAAATCAAAGTTGTTCCTCGAGGCCTCCAACCTGATCTACAGAGTTTATTTACACCACAGGAACTCGTCAAATTGGTTCCAAAGGGGTATTGCTACGTTAAACACCCAGTGTCCATTCCAAAGGGCATCACATTTCCTATGCTTTTATGGAGGCTCCTCGGGATTCTCGAGACTTAGCACCCCACGTCCCATTACGATGGACACTATTTTGCACGTCTGAATCCCGTAGAAAGCTTCGTCTCAGCAGTCAGTTCTTTAATATGCAATTACATGTTTACATGTATAATTCATCATATACGGTATGCTATGGTATATTCATATAAAAAATAAAAACGATATTTAGAGAATAAAAAAGTGAAAGTAGAATAGGAAAATGATCCAAACATGCAAAAAAAATGATATCGTTCCGACTGTGCCTTTAACTCTGGTCCGAAAGGGTTAAAGCTAGTCACGGAAAGATAGCCAATGGGCTATCAACTAATCCACTAGCCTTTGAACAAGAAAATCATAACTCAACAAGACTCTCACTCGTGTAAATTGGACTGGTTCTCTGTTGTTCCTCGTTCTGCCGTTACCGACGAAATGTGAAAACCAACCGCGTTCTACAGTACGCTATCGATTCCCTTAATTATAAAAAAAATTTCCCCGAGGAGGTCCTCCCTCCCTCCCCTAACCCCCTCCTCCCCCCCCCCCCTCCCTCCCCTTCCCCTCGTTCTCCTTCATTTAAGCGAATGCTTTTTCTGGGCCTCTAAATGGCTCTCGTTTGAAAAACATCGTAAAGATTACATTGCTCTCCTCTTAACTCTTCCCATCTCTGGGACATTTCTTTTATTTCCGAGTCTTTAAAATCGGGCACAATAGCCTAAATGACGATATTTCCAGCGCTGTATACAGTGGAACACACAAGAGCTCTTATCGACAACGGAATGCCAGTTTGTGCATAAAATCCAGTAAAAATCAATTACCGTCGCCTGCGCGTAAAAAAAAGAGCTTCGGTTCCTCATCGATCGCTATTCCGGTGTCTCTCTTTCCATTTGATTCCCTCTGTTTATCCTCACCGAACACTTTTAGAGGCCCATCGTTATTATGATCGATGAGAAGAATCTGAGGCTTGCAAACCTTATTGAGCCACTTTTTTTGCGGGCGCCCTTCCCGAAGCTCCAAATCTCTCCTGGCGGAGAAATCAATTTCCGAAAACGTGCGATTTAACTCGTTAGGATTTGACATTACTTATTAATCACGAATCACGAATTTCGCGAAAGTTAATCACGAATGGGAACAAGACATAACCCTGATGGACGCTTTCCCCTTGTTCAATCCGTTTGGCTGATTCATTTGTTCCGTATTGGTTCCGGTTTTTTTCAAATTATATTTTCTTACAATTTAAATACGTTTAATTTAAATTATTTACTCATTTATAATAAGACGTGCGAGAACTCGCTCAAAGATTTGCCGATTTCCACCTCATTTACTTATTGCTGAGGCAGTGAACTTTTTCCTAAAGACTCAGACAATTGGACATTTTTAGTTCCTGAATTCCCTCAAACAGAATCATAGACATGCTTGAGTCTTGGAGTGCTGAATCATAAATTTGCTTTGGTGGAGCGAATTTGCACTATATTCTGCAGGTCTTCGAAGACCATATTCTACGCATTGTGTCGTTTAGGTGGCAATATTTATCGCTATGGGTGGAAATATTTGGAAGAAAAGCTCAGGCACATAACGAACCTTTTTCCATCCGCTTGAGACGAAGTAACGAAAAAAGGACTGACTTTTTATTATTAAAGGAAATACATGACAAGTTCCGGCAGGTTCCAGATGTAAATGTACCGGCAATTCGAAAATTTTATTTAAATTGTCGCAAAGAATAGATCCTTTTCAATCGTCTTGTGAGGCTGCGATGAAAATATTCCATTAAAAAACCTGTGTCGTGCCTGAATGCAAAAAAAAACAGGCTTGCTTTGTAGTTCGAGGAATTGCTAAAAGTTCTTAATTGTGACTTGTGCAAAGTTCTCAAAATTACTTCTTTTTGTTTCCTTCTGAAACTTTCTGAATCATAACTTGGATTTCCTTTCCTTTGTTGATCTGGCGCCTGAGTCTAATGATTTTCCATGGAAACTACCGTACGCAACGTCTTTCCGGCTAAAAAACCGCACTGACTCCTGCGCAATTAACCTTTTTGGCGAATCGTGGCGTGGGTTTTGAGGATTTCGCGGAAGGCGGAACGATGACGAGGCATCTCTCCACGGCGATGGCGGACAGCGTCGCGATGGACACCAGACCGAATAGCCCCACCATCCCAGCGTAAAATTTGCAGCCTGAAAAAAGGAACATGCGAAAAATCGACGATACTCATTTTTCATTCCGTCACTAGAAGGAGCCTTTTTTAAAAATTAAAATCGTTAATTTTTCTTACTGCTATTCTTTCTTCCACAGATCATGTAATTTGAAACTGTCCCAATTCAACTAACACGTCTCCGCGGGGACTGGTGCACGTTCGGGTCTAAAGGTCTATATCCCTTGATTTTGTGCTCATCCTGTACTGGATTATTTATAGCTTTCCATAGTCCAACCCCCATCTGAAAGTCACTAGTTTTTACGCTAGAGTCTCGCGAAGTCGAAGTGGTGGTCTACTGGTTCAAAAGGCTGATTCGATTCGTGCGTTTCAATCGATTCTTCGATGATCGAATGGCTTGAACTAATTACCTGCTTTCCCGAACTGCCAGCCGTGGCTGAGGGAGGAGACGGTGGCCATGGAATGCATGAGGGAGTTCCCCAGGTCCGCCGCCGCCAGGTTCAGCACGAACACCGTCGCCGTCTTCCGCAGACACCGGTGTCTGTGGGAAACGCAGAGGGAAGATCATTCGGCTGCCGAAGCTGAAAATCATCGCTTGGGAAGAGTGGGGAGGACTGTGCATCGAAGCCCGAGGATCGCTGCCGCTAGATGGCACTCCGCATGCCTGAAGCACTTTTCTGGAGGCTGTCTTCATCTGGGTACGACTCAATTATATCTCAGGCAATTGTTTGGTAACGATCCAGAAACAATTTTTCACTTCGATTCAGACAGCGAAAGATTCTTCCATTAGTAAGTAAAGACAGTAAGAGGAAAACGCACGAATTGCTCATGTATTCTAACAGACACACGGTAAGATCGCATGGAGGTCATCACAGAAGAATCTTCCTTATATGTATTGAAATGAATGATTTAAACGCCGAGGCCTAATACATTACAGCCCCCCTGGGAATATGATGCCATTTCGCATGCAACTCCATGGCCCGACTGGCCGGTTTCGAATCCGCGGATGAAAATTGCAAAACCCGTCAGACAGGGTAGAATGAAAAATAGAATGAACGGATGGAAGATGCGAACAAATAGGGACACGAATAATAATATATAAACCCTTGTCACAAGCAAAGAAAAGCAAATCTCTGAAACATATGTAAAATTAACCGCGAGGGGGGAATTAACGTTAATCCGATGTCGAAAATAGCATTGAAAAATATCAGGATGCTGTCAATCTGTTTTTTTTTTTTCGAGATGGAACGAAAAGCGACATTGCGACGCTTTGCTTAATATTTAGCGGAAACGTTTTGACGATGACGAGCCGGTTTCAGTGTCGGTTGGTTCTTTGACATCGACAAAGAACGGCGATGCATTTGTAATGAAAAGCCGCGAGCGCAATCACAGTCACGCAATATCCGTCAATTCATCCGTGATTGAAGGGAATTGAAATGTTGATTGTCTCCTTGGGATGAGTCGGAGATGCGTCTTGCGACTGACGAGGACTTGCGAAGTCGGCACGAGCGATCCTAATCGAAGGCGGCACGGAGGGAGAATAATCGCGAGAGGAATATTTTAAATAACGAAGGAAAGTTCCTGAAGTGCCATCGAATTCCATAGCCTGCGTCTCCCCGATCGTGACGTTCGCCGGATTCCCTCGTGTGATTATGCTCGAGGAGAGGAAGGAACGTGATGAAGCGCGAAGGTGGCACGAAGGTGGCACGGATCCGGAGGCGTCGCTGAATGATTACTTGAGGCCCGAGGCACGCACTCATCGATGCACCCAGAGGAAACTTTGCCTCGAGATCTCATTATTTTCGAAACATCCACCTGCCAGGCGGATTCGGAGCCAGGTGGATGTTCCCTTAGGCGTATTTTTACTTGTTGGAACGACATCCACCCGCTGAAAAATCCACCAGGAGGAGAACATCCACCTGGCTCGAGGAACACGTGCGCGGATGAGAAGGTGGATTTACACCGAGACATCCACCTGGTTCCAGATCCTCCTTCTTCCCACCTGGTCGTCTAATCAGGTGGATGTAGGATGAAAGCGACTTCTAGATTTCGGGAGAATCTAGGAGATTTCGAGCGTTTCATTGACTCTTTCACTGTCACGGCTCAACTATTTGCGTTAGTAACGTTGCTGCCGAAAAGAACTTCCTGAGCAGGGAAGTCAACTTAAGTCTTTTTTTCCAATAATTTTGCTGTAAAATGAAAAAAAATCATTTATCCATAAATAGATGATTTGATAAGAGGACAAAAGTTGACGAAGTGAGCGGGCGGGAATCGAAACCATACAGGGCCCCTTGATTGCTTCGTTCTATTGCGTTCTATTACTACACCACCGAACCATAAGAATTCACATGTAGCCACCATGCCATCCCTAACACTATAACAAGAGAGAGAGGCATTCTCTGCACACTCCTGCCCCCCCCCCCTTCTTTCTTAGGGGGTATTCGCTCGTCCGATACGGACTTTTCCGCAGGGACGTGTAAAACGTCCGCGCGTATTACACTTGGAGTCCCCTTTCATCCTTGGAGCCAGGATGACTTCCTCGCCGGGATGAGATCTTCCATATAGTACGAGGGTATATATGATCTCGTATATACAGTATATATCGGGATCCCGACCCATTCATCAATCGGAACCCCGTCCTCATATTAGATCGACACTTCCACAAGAAGAGTGACTCCCGAGGGTGAAAACGGCGGGATCCCACCTATATGGAACAGGAGCGCTTCCCCTTGGATCGGAAAGACGACATCAGTCGCGTGGTAACCGTCCCGTTTCTCTATCCGTGTTTTTCACTCGCAGGCCTTATGAGTAATGGAGATGGACTTTAAGGACGATACGCACAGGGTCGCGATCGACCTACGACTTCGATCGACTTGAATATCCGAAAATGCTACACGCTTAGCACTCGGCCGTCCCGGAGTTCGTGGATGTCTTCCACGGGTTGGGGTCTCCGTCTCGCTCTCGAGCGAGCAGTTTCTCTCGAGTCTTCGCGAGTGTTGGATTCGTCTTCGAGAACGGGAGAGAGCGGCTGCCGCGTAGAGGGTTCAAATGCTGACTGAACTCGTGGATTCCCAACTACGAGGGTATGTTCAAGACCGTTGAGAGGGAATGGGGGGGGAGGAGTGGAAAGGGGACCCTTTCGTGAACATTGCCGCAGGCCTCGCAATTCCTTTTGGCGGCCTTTGTTACACGCTCAGCCTAAGCTATAAATGTGGAACTTGATTAAGCTGACGGCCGCATGAAACCCTTCAGGAATGATTGGGTCCACATTAGAAAATCTTACACCAAAGTTCAATTGCCAACAGGTTGAAAGAATCTATGCTTTTCCAAAACCAACTGTTGAAGAAGACTTAACAAGCCGGACGAAATGAAGTAGCGCGCCGGCAGTTTGACACCCCTGGCCTTGACCGACCCAAAGTTCGTGGAAGTCTTCCACGGGTCATTCTCGAGAACGGGATAGAGGGGCTGCCGCTTATATTGTTGAGGGAGCCGCTGAGTTTTAGGGCTGCTGACTGAGCTCGGGAATTCCCGAGAAACAGTTTATGGAAGGCTTCCCGCGGGTTGGAGTGCCTGGCTCACGCTCTCGAGCTCGCCTGCTCTCTCCGGCCTTTTGCGACTGTCGGATCCGTTCTCGAAATGGGAGAGGGAGTCATTGTATAACCCCACCCCCCCAATTAAGGGATTTTCACAATCCGATATGAACTTTCACGCGGGAACACCCGCGTACAACACTTGGAGTCCCGCTTTTCTCCGCGCGAAGGAGAGTAACTCCCGAGTGTGAATGCGGCGGGATCCCATCTGGGTGGGACAGAACAGAAAGGTTTATCCGTTGATGACAAAGATGCTGCCGGTCGTGTCGTAACCATCCCGTTTCCATATCCGTATATTTCACTTATTGCATGAAAAGTGATGGAGATGGACTTTACGGACGAAGCGGACAGGGTTGTGATCGATAGGAAAAAGTGCCGATCAATAAAGGGGTCGGGATTCTGAAAAATGGAAGAGCGAAGATCTCACCCTGGCGAGGAAATCATCCTTCCTTCGGCGGGAAGAAAGGAGATTCCAAGGGTTACACGTGGGGACGTGTAAAAATTGGGGGGAAATCGCCTATAGCGATGAGACGGCCACTGAGTTTTAGGGCCGCGAATGAACCAGGGAGTTCTTGCCCAAAGAGTTCGCAGAAGTTTTTCACGGGTCGGCTAGTATCCCTACATCAACCCCAGCTGAGAATTGAAATTTTTTGCATCGTGCTGTAAAAAAAAATGGACTTAAATGAACATTCGACCTTGAAAGGATTAATAGAGAGCAGTTGGGATGCATGCATCAGGCATGCATGAAGCTCACTCATGCATCTCAATAAGCCCTCTTCCTCAATACCCTGGATAGGATCGTCCTATGACCTTAAAACTTCTCTGGACTTCCCTGGACATTTCCTTGCGAGTTTCTGTTGCATTGCAGGAGGATCCTAGCCGACCGTTTTTTTTTAAATTATTTTATTATTATTATTATTATTTATTTTATTTTATTATTTTTTTTTTTTTTTT